TCCTGTGAAGTTTTGTTCGGTACTCATAAGTTAACCTCACGGCAATTCGATTCGAAGAGTATTGTTTCATAGTTACCAATCAAACTTTATTAAAATTTCACGATAACCGTTACCGTTCTCTAATATTCATTAATATCCATTTTAAATCAAAGTGTTTTTTTTTTTGGTCAAACAGCTGTCAATGACTATGAGTGAGAAATTAGTTAATTTTTTTATTTGTCGCTTTTGGTCTATTTAGCTTGTCAATTTTGAAATTTTGAGCTTTTACAATACTGTTTACTTTCTCAACATAGAAAAAATCATTGAGAAAGTAAGAAAGGAAAAATAAAATTTCATGGAGAAATTCATCATTAGTTTTTTGTTTTTTTTATGTATAACATTGTAAATTGGCTTAGTGGAACTATGTAAAGTGATAATGAGACGAATAAGTCCAAAAGACGAGTAAATTGTTGAAAATCTTAATAAAATATTGAACTCGATGTAATAAAAATGAATAATGGATTTTGACCCGACTACGAAAACCCAACTAATGCCATTAATACTTGTAAAACAATACGTGACTCAGCTACAAACGTGAGATTACGCAATGTCTCTCAAGTCAACCAACATTTCTGGAGAAATCCCTAAAATAATAATGTAATTAATTATTATCCCGCAGTGTTTTCATTTTTTCAAAACGAAAAAATCATTACGAATGCAAGTTGTGTTGAAAATCTTTTGAGTATTATATTATTTAGTTGACGTTTGACTTATTTGCTTAACGAGCAAACAATTGTGACCTTGGAAAAATGTGTGGTTTGACGAAGTCGTCGATCACTCGGCGATGCCGTATTTTTTTGGATTTATTTTTTCAGGCATTTGTCCCCAAAGCCATTTCCTAAACACATTTTGTAAAATGAGAAACGAACTATATAGTACTCTCCAAGTTTGACCTGAAATATGATTATTACTATGGATAAAATTTCAGATTTTGGTATAGGATATTAAGATGAAAACATTTAATTATACCTTTTTCTACGTGACCAAAAAAAAAAAATTAAATTTGCATTTATTGATATTTTTGTTCATTACTATATATGTATAAAACTCCTTTTTCATTATCCTAAATCTGTTTAGTTACTGGTCAATTTTGTTTTTTATTATTAAATTTACTGGTTAGTTACACTACACTGTACATA